ATATATATATATATATATATATATATATATATATATATATATATATAGAGAGAGAGAGAGAGAGCTCACCAAGTATAGCGCAAAACCTCTATAGTGCAACATGTTGTCAAGAGTGTGTGTTTGTGATTCTGGAATTCTTACCTCTTATCAGTAGAGTTTGGATAGCACTGAAAGCATAGAAAATCGATGGAGACTTGAAACACAGTTCCATCTCTGACTTTCTGATTTAACCCATATTAATCCTCTCTTATTACCACTATCATGTGAAAAACTTATTTCCATACTTCTATCTATGTTAGGTATTCAGTGACTTGAATCTGTAAATGTACATGCATAAAATATCACAAAAATGAGGCCAAATTCCTGTCTAGAAGAAGTCATTGAAAACTTACTTAGAGTTGGTAAGCATCTTTTTATTAATTAATTAATTAATTAGCACCCCATATGCTGCCCCTTCCCTGTCCCTACTCATGTGGTTTCTCCTCCCAGAGGATGACATTCCCCGACTATTCCCCAATTCTAGTGCATCAAGTCTCTACAGGATTAAGCATATCCTCTCCCACTGAAGCCAGACAAGGCATTCCTATGCTACTTATGTGCCTGGGGCTTCTGATCAGCCTTTGTATGCTCAATTGTTGGTGGCTCAGTCTCTTGAGGCTCCCCGGAGTACAGGTTAGTTGACACTGTTGGTCTTCCTGTGGGATTGCCACCCTCTTCAGCTCCTTCAATCCTTCCCCTAACTCTTCCATAGGGGTTCCTGGCCTCCACAATATGTTTGGCTGTGAGTCTCTGCAACTGTCGCAGTCAGCTGCTGGATAGAGCCTCTCAGACAACAGTTATGCTAGGCTTCTGTCTGCAAGTACGACATAGCATCATTAATAGTGTCAGGGATTGGTGCCTGTCCATGGAATAAGTCTCAAGGTGGGCTGGTTATTGCTCAACCATTCCTTTAGATTCTGTTCCATCTTTGTCACTGAATTTCTTTTAGATAGGACTAATTTTGGGTGAAAAGTTTTGTAGGTGGGTTGGTGTCACCATCTCTCCTACGGAGGTCCTGTCTAGCTACTGGAGATGGTCTCCTTAGGTTCCATATCCCCACTATTGGGCATTTTGGCTACTCCTGGGAACCTCACCCATCCTAGGTGTCTGGTACTCTTGAGAGATTTTCCCTCACCCTTTACCCCCACCCCAGGCAGCTGCATATTTTCATTCTTTCTACTGGCTCTCTGAACCTGTCTCCAATTTCTCTCCATACCTGATCCTGCCCTGCCTCATTCTCCTCCCCTTTTCCAACCAAATCCTTCCCTCAATCTGCCTCCAGTGACTCTATACTTTCCACTTCTTCATGCGTATTTACTTGGGCCTTCCTTCTTGCTTAACTTCTTGGGTATGTGGGGTGTATCATTGGTATCCTGTACTTTATGTCTAATATCCACTCATCAGTGAGTACATTCCATGCATATCTTTTTGGGATTGAGTTACTTTACTCCAGATGTTATTTTCTAGTTCCATCAATTTGCCTGGAACGTTCATGATGTCCTTGTTTTCAATAGCAGAATAGTATTCCATTGTGTAAATGATTCACATTTTCTGTATTCATTCTTTGGTTGAGGGATATATAGGTTGTTGCCAGTTTCAAGGTGATACAAATAAGGCTGTTATGAACATAGTAGAGTATGTGTCCTTGTGGTTTGGTGGAACATCTTTTGGATATGTGACCAGGAACAGTATATCTGGGTTGTCTGGTAGAATTCTTTTCTGTTTTCTGAGAAACTGCCATACTGATTTCCTGAACAATTGTACAAGTTTGCACTCCCATCAGCAATGTAGGAGTGTTCCTCTTTCGCCACATCCTCTCTAGCATGTCACTTGAGGTTTTGATCTTAGCCATTCTGATTGTTGTAAGGGTCCATTTGGTATGTATTTTTCTGATGACTAAGGATGTCGAACATTTATTTAAGTGCTTCTCAGCTATTTGAGATTCCTTTGTAGAGAATTATCTGTTTAGGTTTGTACCACATTTTTAATTGCTTGTTTGATTTTTTCTGTCTACATTTTGAGTTCTTTATATATTTTGGTTGTTAGCCCTCTATCAGATGTAGGATTGGTAAAGATCTTTTCCCAGTCTGTTGGTTGCTATTTTATCCTATTGACAGTGTGCTTTGCTATACTAAAGTTTTTCAATTTCATGACATCTCATTTATCAATTGTTGATCTTAGAGCCTAAGCCAATGATGTTCTGTTCAGGAAATTTTCTCCTGTGACTATGAGTTTAAGGCTATTTCCCACTTCTTCTTCTATTAGATTCTGTTTATCCAGTTTTATGTTGAGGTCCTTCATTCACTTGGACTTGAACTTTGTGCAGGGTGATAAACATGGATCTATTTGTCTTCTTCTGCATGCAGCCCATCAGTTAAACTAGTACCATTTGCTGAAGATGATTTCTTTTGGTTTCTTTGTCAAAAAATGTCTACAGTTGTGTGTGCTTATGTCTTGGTCTTCTATTCTATTCCATTGCTGAACCTTTCTGTTTATATACCAATACCATTCAGTTTTTATTACTATTTCTTTGTTGTAGAGCTTGAAGTCTGGGATGGGGATTCCTCCAAAAGTTCTTTTATTGTTCAGGATTGTTTTGGATATCTGGAAGTCTTTTGTTTTTCCATATGAATTTGAGAATTACTCTTTCAAGGTCTGTGAAGAATTGTGTTGGAATTTTGATGGGAATTACATTGAAT